AGGAGGTTATGTAAGAAAGGTACAAGCACTGGTCGTAGATAGATTCCCAACAGACCTGTATGTACATGGTCTAGGAACAACAGCCAAATTCCTGGAAGAAAAGGGAGTTCCTTTGACTGATAAAATTACATCGGACAAACTTTCCAATATTGGAATCCTTATGGGATCGGATGTCTACCATAAGTTCGTCAAAGGAAAGGAAGATCACCACGGTATGAACGTGTTACTATCTGCAGGTGGCTATTTACTAACAGGCCCAGTATTACGGCTAAAACAACCCGCACCTGTAGACCACCAACATGCCAACCCAGTAATGGTTGCATGACTAGGAGACCAGTCTCCACAGCAACTCAGAGACATGTCCGAGGATGAGCTTGATCCCCCTGTACATAAGTTATGGGACCTGCAAACCTCGGCATTGTCCCTGAACAACCTAGCCTAGACGATGACTGGACTTACAAACAATACCTGGACTCAGTTTTCTACAGAGATAATCAATACTGAGTCAGGTTACCATGGAAGCTGAATCACCCTCAGCTACCTGTCAACCATTTTATAGCACAAAACCAATTAAGATCACAGGTGTTGCGCTTACAAAGACAACCTGAGAACTTGAAGTTGTACCATGAAATAATACAAAAGCAGCTCGATGACAAATTTATCAAAGTTGTAACAAATGATAACCCAAAGGAAGGGCACTACCTGCCACACCACCCTGTACAGAAGAATTCTGCTACTACCCCACTACGGATAGTATTTAATTGCAGTGCTAAGACGAGGTAGAGTAGTGTTTCGTTAAATGACTGCCTTCAAACTGGCCCTAGCCTAACACAAAGGCTTTACGACGTGCTGTTAAAGTTCCATATAGGGACTTATGCATATACGGCCGACATTAGCAAGGCATTCCTTAGGGTAGGTCTTCAAGAAGAAGACCGGAACTACACGAGGTTCCTATGGATCAAGGATCCTAACGATCCGAACAGTGAATTAATCACTTACCGGTTTGCGTCAGTCTTGTTCGGCGCCACTTCCTCACCATTTCTGCTCCAAGCTACCTTGGATACGCACTTGAAGAAGTCCAATAGCCCGAACAAGACGGAAATTAGTAAAAACCAGTATGTGGATAATTTTCAAGGAACAGCCAACAGTGAGAGTAAACTGTTGGACATATACCATGAGGCCAATCAAGAATTGATGGGAGCCAATATGCCTCTCCAGTCTTGGGTCTCTAACAATGACAAATTAAATCAACTGATCACAGCTGAATTTCCCGACTACCAAGTACCCGAGATGACAAAGGTACTAGGTGTTGAATGGAACATGACAACCGATCAGCTGACAATCAAGTCAGTGGAAACAGATACCACTAACTTAACAATGAGAAAATTGCTATCACAAGTCAGCAAACCCTTCGACCCATTAGGACTATTAGTCCAATACTAATTAATGGGAAATTGATAATACAGGAATGTTGGCAACAAAAGATAGGCTGGGATGATCTTCTAACACCTGCCCTACAGGAAAAAAGGCAAGGGTTAGTGAAAGATTTAAGTATCCTAGAGTCTGTCAAGTTCCCTAGGAACACAGTAGTAAATGAAAAAGAACCAATTAAGCTACATGTATTTTGTGATGCCTCAGGAAAGGCTTATGGTACAGTAGCTTACCTGGTCTCAAATGGGCAAGCCAATTTGCTCACATCGAAGGCCAGAGTGGCACCTTTAAAGAAAAGATCACTGCCACAACTGGAATTAACAGCCTTACTGCTAGGTGTAAGATTGGCTCATTATCTGATCAATTATCTGATCTATTACGAGAACCTTCAAGTCCAGAGATCCCATCACAATGGTTGTACATTTCAAATCACTTGTGTTGTCCCGTCTTGAGTACTGCTCAGTACTCACTTTCCCTTCAGAGCAGGAGAGATTGCTGAAATTGAGGGAATACAGAGAACATATACGGCACGCATAGACGAGATAAAGCACCTAAATTATTGGGATCGTCTCAAAGCTCTCCAAATGTACTCACTAGAAAGGAGAGGAGAGAGATACCAAATAATATACACATGGAAAAAACTGGAGGGATTGGTCCCAAATCTGCACAGTAAAATAACAACGTACTGGAGTGAACGACATGGAAGAAAATGCAAAATAGAACCAGTGAAGAGCAGAGGTGCCATGGGCACAATCAGAGAACACTGTATGAACATCAGAGGTCCACGGTTGTTCAACGTCCTACCAGCGAGCATCAGAAATATTACAGGAACAACCGTGGACATCTTCAAGAGGAAACTAGATTGTTTTCTTCAAGGAGTGCCGGACCAACCGGGCTGTGGTGGGTATGTGGGCCTGCGGGCCACTCCAAGAAACTGCCTGGTGGACCAAACTTTCACAAGTAAAGCCTGGCTTCGGGCCGGGCTTGGGGAGTAGAAGAACTCCCAGAACCCCATCAACCAGGTACCAGGTAACATATAGACACGTGCAAGTCACTATGGTGACAGTTCTCACACTTAGTATAGGGGCACTATACAGAAGACGGGTGTCCTGTGCGGTCACTCGTGTAAACACAGTAGTCACGCACACAAACCGCAACCTTGGGTAAGGAATGCACAAAGACAATTTACGCACGAATGGTGCTTGGACCAGGTATTGGTGGGTGACCCCACCTCCTTACACTGCTCTCCTCAGAGGGCCTCGATGTCGCCACATAAGGAATTACTACCTTAATTTCTGGCCAATCCACACCTCCACGAAAGAGGTAGTTATGGTTAACAGTATCAAATCCCTTCCTCAGGTGAATGAAGAGTCCAGTCTGAAACTTATTTTTGTCAAGGACCGAGTAGATTATATCAAGCAGACTAATAATTGCACCGTTGGTACACTTTTGGGAGTGGAAGCCAAACTGACAGGGGGCGAATAAGTCGAATTTTGCAATATAGGAGTAGAGCTGTTTGTAAATAATTTTTTCAAATGACAACCAAATATTTCAAATATTTTTGATGGTATGGGTAGGTTTGATATTGGTCTGTAATTGTTTATGCCTGCCGGATTGCCTCCGTTATGAACTGGCGTTACTCTTGCTTTTTTAAGGACATCAGGGAAGGTATGACACTAGAGATTTGTTGAACAGCAGAGTTATGGGTGGTGCAAGGGCATGGGAGGCACTCTTGTATACTATGGATGGTATTTCTCTAATGTTCCCAGCTTTGGTTTTTAGTGAGTGTATGATGGACACAGCATCTGTCGTGCTGACTGGTGAAAAGAGAAGAGAGTTTGGATAGCTGTCTGAGAGATATGTGTTAACATGTGACTGGATCTGTGGAATTTTCTGGCAAGATTATAACCAATCGATGAAAAAAGCTATTAAATTCAGTTGCGGTTTCTAGATCAGTTGCCGGTGTAGAACCATCCTTGGAGAGTTTTATCTGGTTATGTGAGTGTTGTTTAGTTCTTAGAATGTTAGATATGGCTTTCCATGTGCCTTTCATGTTGCCTTTTGCTTCTTTGAATCTATTCTCATAATAGGAAAGTTTTGCTTTTCTTATTATACTGGTAAGCACTGACGAGTACCTCTTAACTACTTCCTTTGTAACTAGGCAAATCCTAAGCTTATTTTCATAGTCATGTTTCTTGTTGATTGCTTTGAATATTGCACTTGTGAGCCACGGATTATTTATTCTTTTGTCAGTTACTTACTTGGTGAATCTGGGACAATGGGTGTTGTAGAGGCTTAGAGACATTCCTCTTCTTAAAAGGAAGAGGTTAGCTAATGAATTTATAGTCTGTGTATTATTGAATTCAGATTCCCAGTTAATATTGTGATGTGCATTTGTGAGGTTGCTTATTGCAGCCTCACTGTGTACCCTGAAGGTAAATTTCTGGTTTTCTGGTGGTGTTATGTCCATGTTTACTTTGAGGAAGGTAGGATAGTGGTCAGTTGTTCTGTCAATGATTATACCAGATGTAAGGGGAGCTGTTATGTCAGTCCATAAGTGATCCAAGGTAGTAGCAGATGTTTGAGTGATTCGGGTGGGCTTAGCCCACCCGAACCACTCAAACCCACTAATGTGGGGATTACCATACACGAGTTAATGCTGTTTAGAAAATTGTCAACTTGGGGGCTATTTTGTTGACATAGGTCAAGATTTAAGTCTCCTCCTAGAATGATGTGATTTTTGTCGAGGTTATTGTTTATGATAAGGTTCCTTAGGTTATCTGAGAATGAAGCTATGCTAGCATTGGGAAATCTATAGATAGCTCCAATAGTCAGGGAGGATTTAAGGGATTTAATCGAGAACTGAGCAAAGTTATATTCACAGTAGTTGTCTCTATCACTAATGACACTATTGCAGATGAAGGTATCTTGGTATTATATCGCTGTGCCACCTCCTTTTTATTTGGCCTGTCAGTTTGGATAGCTTGAGGGAGCCTTCAGGAAAATGGTGTTTCATTATATTCAACACTGGATTTTTTCTTCTGTTAATCTACTTCATTACTTTGCATTCATGAATGTGGCTAACCGCTAAACCATTTGTATACACTTTGTATGTTTCTAAGTTAAAGTAATAGAAATATTCTGCAATTGTTTTTAATAAATGACTTCAATTAGTTACCAAACTACAGGACTGTATTGGGAGTTTGAACTGCATTCACTACCTATAGTTACTATCTTTATACTTCTGACCTGCAGCAAAGGTAATGTACCCAATATTTTTTGGGTAAAAAAATCGGTGCCTGTTCACTGGAGGCCTCGGGCCCTGGATGTGAGCCGTGAGTGTGTGTCTGCCTTCAATATTGCACAATATGCATACACTCATCTCCAAATGTTTCGTTCACCATGGAGTCTAAAATCAGTATAGGAATGTTGACCAGACCACACACTAGAAATTGAAAGGGAGTGTGTGGTCTAGTGTGTGGTCTGGTCAACATACTTCAGCCACGTTATTGTGACTCATCGCCTCAGTATAGGAATGTTATGCTCAGTTCAAGGGTTAATAAGCACAATTAAAATTTTAAAATTTTAATTAAAATATCTTATGAACACAGAGAATATCTCAGTGTTCAGATAATCAAGCATAAGGCATTACTGATCAATTAACATTGCAATCTGCAAACTTTGTTTTACACTTCTTGTATTGAAAGTTATTATTTGATGTTAGTACTTAAAGTGAAGCCATACTCTGTGATCATCACTTTCTTGTCTAGAATATTTTGGGTATGTCTACAGCTCTATGGTTGGGCATTCTGCAATGTTATTTCCTCTCTAAGAAGTTTTGCAAGATTCTCCATGCCCTGCAAAAATACAAAAAATATTAAAACTAAAGTAAAATAATAAAATGATCTGGTAAAATGCATTTTTAAATTGGATTTGGGCTTGTCTGTACCAAAGGAAACAAAGAGTAGTATAAATGGGGTTAAATCAGTGGGAAATGTTGTAAGTCAGTCACAGTGAGAGGGTGTGTAGCTGGAGCTCTTAATTGTCTTGATACTGAAAATGGAAATTGTAGTGAGTGAGCTGGTGCCAGTGAGGGAGCTATGTGGAGCTCCGACAGATGCAGGAGCAATGACAGACGAAAAAACGCCAAGAAGAAGCAAATGAGGAGAGCTGCAGTAGAAAGTCTTCGTCTTGGAATGTCGTAAAGGACAGGGGTCTTAAGAAGACTTTGACAAAGCCATCTACAGATGTTATAAAGACTTCCAACCCATTTGCTGTGCTGGAAAACGAATGCTGTGGGGAGACTGTAGTTCCGCGAAAGGGAAGGCAACGAAGGGAGCGCAGGTCCCTCAAGGTCCTTAGAAAGTAAAGCGAGTACCTAAGTAAATTTTTGTTGTTGGAGATTCTCAGGCGAGATATATGGATAGAGCTTTTTGTGCCAGAGATAGGGGGGAACAGGTTAAGGGTTTGCTATCCGGGAGCAGGAATTGTTGATATTGTTAGCAACATGAATGATATTATGGCTGGAAATGGGAACAAACCCATTATTTGTATCAGTGTCGGTGGAAATGATGTTGGCCGAGTTAGGAGTGTAGCACTGATACAGAGATTTAAGACAATTTAAGACAGCCATAGAATTAGTTAGGAGCAAGGGAGGAATCCCGATCATATGTGACATTCTTTCAAGATACTGAAAATCTTGAAAGTCAAGAAAGGGAGTTGTTAATGAATGATTGTTGAGGGCACTTAGTGTCAATTGCCGACTAGACAAATATGGCTCAAATGCAATATCATTAATAGATAACTGGGAACACTTCTATGAAAGAAATGTATACTCGGGATGGGGTGCATTTATTGAGAGCTGGGGCTGTTGCTGTTGCCAACTCGTTGGAACCTGTGGTGGGAGAGTTTTGTTTGGGTTTAAACTGTTAGTAGATAGTGGTATGGGAATTGATATAAAGAAAGGAGGTAATAAAAGTATGTGTTTGTGGGAGAAACAAATTGACAAAATGATCAGGGAAAGAGAAGAGCCTGAATATAACAATACACTTAGGGTATATTACACGAACAATAGGAGTCTAAGAAACAAAATAAACAATTTAAATGCTGTTGTCTGCACAGAAAAAAAATAGATATTATTGCACTTACCGAAACGTGGATGAAGGTAGAAAATAGAGAACTATTAGCTGCATATCAAATAAATGGATTTTAACTATTTCTCACAGATATATATATATATATTAGACGAGGAGGTGGAGTAACCATATATGTTAGGGAAAATTTGAAATGTAGTCTCAAAGAGGGAATCAAAACTGAGCCACACACAGAAACTATTTGGCCAGAATTAAAGGAAAAAGCAAATAATCTTATAATAGGAGTTATATACAGGCCACCAAGTTTAGACAGAATGGAAGCAAAGCATCTATGGGATAAATATCTAGAGCATCTAGATCTAACAGTATTTGTGTCATGAGTGACTTTAAATTTAGTGGAATAAACTGGTTGAACATAAACGGGAATACTGAAGCAGACGATTTTCTAGAATTAATTGACGATTGTTTTCTTATGCAACACTAAGGAACCAATGCGGGAAAATAATATTTTAGATTTAGTGTTAACTAACAGGGAAACACAAATTAATGACATCGAAATTGGGAGTGAGCTAGGGAACAGTGTTCACAAAGAAATCAGATTTACCATAGACTGGAATAGATCTGTAGGAGAAAATGCTGTTAAAGTGCCAGATATTCGAAAAGCTGATTTTAAGAGCCTATAAAATTTGGGGGGTCAATTAGATTGGAAAGGCTTGGGCATGGGGGATTTTGGAGACCAGAAAATCATTTCCAATTTTAACAAACTTTACGACAGGGCACTTTTCCGGAGATGTGTCGAAGTGACTGATGCCACAAATCTCCCCCGCAAAAGAGTTCTGATTTTTAAACATTTTGAGTGCTTTAAAACTCATAGACAAAGCCTGGCAAGAAGTGACTCTAAGAACCATAATCTCTGACTGGAGAAAATTGTCGCCTTAATGTGTTCCAGAAAGAGACTTTGAGAGGTTTGAGCCTGAACCTGCAGTGCCTCTTGTTGAGGAAATTGTTTATCTGGGGCGGAAATTGGGCTTGGAGTTGGATGGTGGTGATGTGGAGGTGTTGGTGGAGGAACACAGCAAAGAACTGACCACCAAAGAACTCCAAGCCCTTCACAAGGAGAAGCAGCAACAGACAGCTAAGAAGGGCAATAACCTCACACAGTGAGGCAAGTACCTCATGAGCACACACCACACAATCTGTGTGTGTGGAGTCTCAGCCCTCTCTCACGTGGAGTGCGGGAACACTCCTCTCACGAAAACGCGCAGGAAAACTTTTATACATAGACTCATACTTATTTACTAATACATACTCTCAAACATAAATGAAACAAAAATTAATCACAAATAAGTGAAACTGGTATTTTAAATAAGAGAAACACTTACATTAACAACCACAAAAGCTAAACTTTATATACCAGTCATTACCTACTTCCCTGTCTCCCATTAAATGAAAATCTTGCTTAATTGATGGTTAAGTGAGATTTTCATGCTCTTACAGTGGCAAAAAAAACATTGCAATCATGCAAACTTCTACATTCACATACAAGAAATAATACAAACTGGTACACTAATTACACGTAAGCACAAATTTTATTAATTACTAGCAGTCCCCCGGCCACGCGTTTCTGTGGCTCAGCAACGATGAGCGTTGCTGAGCCACAGCAACCTTCCCTGTCCCCCAGTCCTCCCCACCATTCCGCCCTCACCCGTCTCCTCGGCCTCCCAACCATTCCCCATTCCACCATCCTCTCTTCCTTCCCACCATGCCCCCACTCCCCTGTCCCTTTATCCTCCCCACCATCGTCTATTCCCTCATCCCCTCGTCCCTAACATCCCAAACTCCCCCGTCCCCTCGTCCTTCCCCACCATTACCCCCTCCCTTGTCCCCTCGTCCTCCCCACGATCTCTCACTTCCGTCCCCTCGTCATCCCCACCATTCCCCACTCCCTCATCCGATGCCTTCCCAAATGGTCTGATGTTCCCATCAGAAAATTGGGAACATCAAGTGATCTGATGTTCCCATCACTGAAATATTAGAAAAACAGTTAAAAAATGAAATGAAAATAGGAAAAAATAAAAAAATAAACTATACTCACAAAATGAATGGTATGGTAAAAACACAGCTCAATTCCAACGCAATTCACACAAAATAATTAAATCAAAATGAAAATAAATTAAAATCTATGAAAATTAAATTTATCAATTCAATCAGAAACATTGAAATGGAACTGTAACATTTAGTATAGCATGTGTGTTGCTCCTACATGCAACAGATGGCGCTGTTTTTCAAGAAAAGCATGGTTTTACCTGTCACAGGTGTGGCATCTATACATATACTTACGAAATGAATGGTATGGTAAACAACACAGCTCAATTCCAACACAATGTTACAAAATAATTCAATAAAAAATAAAATAAATCGAAAGCAATGAAAATATCATTTATCAATGCAATTTAAAACAGTGAGGTGGAATTCGTGACATATTTAGTATAACCTGCATGTTGCTATTATGTGCAAGAGATGGCGCTGTTTTTCAAAAACGTATGTTTTTACCTGTCTCAGGAGTGGCATCTATATAGTAGGTATATAAAATGACGCACCTATTCGAATGCAACGTTGTGTCAAAATTTCAAAGCAATCGGTAAAGAGGTTTCGAAGATTTCCCTCACATGAAAAAAACAGTTTTTCAGAAAAAGCACGTTTTTTTTACCGTCCCAGATGTGACATCTATATAATATGCATATTTAAACCTGGTCAGATGCGAATGGAACTTTGTATGAAAATTTCAAAGCAATCAATGAAGAACTTTCCTAAATTAGCGATTTTGAACAAACGAATATTTTCATTTTTATTTATATAGATGAGAAAAACATGGAAGGAAGGAAAATTCCAAATAAGATGTTTAACTTTAACAAAATTTACTGGACTGTTCTAAACTTCTCAAAAATAATATATAAACAAAAAGATTTTCAAAGTAACTTTTCAATGTCAATAAACACATACTTAATAATCATAGCATTAGTAACTGTTCAATTTTACTCAAAATTTTAAATTTAAATACTTAAGCTGGAAACATTTTCTAATTAACTTAATTTCTCACATTTCACTATAGCAAAACTTGTACATTTCCCACCACTGGATAACATAAAAAAAACTGAAGCATTAAAGTCAATTGGCTATCAAGTGCACTTCCATCTGGCAACTTCTTCTTTTCTTATAAAAAAAACTTGCATTATTGGATGTCATACTGGGCCTTATTTTCCTCTAGGCAAGCCAAGTCAAAACAAATTCTAATGACCCTTTGACCGCTAGATTAACAATACGGGACAACCGTCTAAGATACGGAACATATGTGCCATCTTGCAACACGTATCACAAATCCTTAAAACTAACACAAGTGTGAGAAATGCCTGGAATCAGGGTGGAAGCGTTCAGTTTATACACTTCCACCCGGCATCCGCAACTCATTCTCACATTAATTTACAACTAACACCTATGCAGAAGTTGATTCAGAATTTGGATGTAAGAATTTCACAGTCAGTGCACAATTTTCTAAAGTCCTTGAGTCTTGTAGTTATATAGAGACACACTGTCAAGTCGCAAATGCAACTGGCGAAGGCAACATTTCGTGCAAGACGGTGGGTCACACCTGTGGGGTTGGCCAGGTGGCCAAGTGAAGTCTTCACAGCACTCCTAATAGGGGACAAGCGTATAGCAGAGGTAGATGACATTATGGTGGAATAACAGCAGACAGGGTATATAGC